GCAATAAAGAAATCAACAACAAAAACAACAAAGACAATGAGAGTGAAGAGCAAAAACAACAACAAAACGGTGGGGGGGGGGGGGGGGATGGGTAAAAATGGTTTATAGCTGAAAAATACCCCTTGTGGAAAAGAGGCGGCCAACCGTTGGCGGGGGAGGGAGCAGGCACAATAAAATTAAAATAAAGAGAATAACAAAAATCAAAAACAAAAACGACCGGCTGACCTATGATGTTATTACCGGCGATCATCTCAATCTCTCCCTCTCCCTGCCCTTCCTTTCCACTTTGCGAAGGGAATGCAAAAAATCGTGATAAAAAAACTGGATAAACTGATTTGTAGATAAATGTGTGTATTTATATAATAATTATGTTTTATTAAATAAGCTACATTTTCGAAACTATTTCCAAATCAAACGATTCAAGCTGCGAACTTAATATTGATAATAGAAATAATTATGAGAATTGTTAAACAAGTTAAGAACTGGAATACATTAAGATTTAAAAGACAGCAAAAGTATTTTAGGGAATCTGTAATTTGCCTCAATATTTTTTTGACTAGTTGGCAACCCTGGCAGCCGCAGCAACAATTAGAGCCGGCCGGCTAGCCAGACAAAAAAAAAAATAAAAATAAAAAAAAGAGAAAAAACAAAAACAAGGCAGTCAAGCGTGAGGCAGCGACTGCGAATGCAACTGCAACGGAGATTGCAGTTTGAACTGGTTTTCACCTGAGCTTGTCAACTCGGCGGAAAGCGGGCGCAGGCGGGAGGAGGGTAGCGAAAAGCCGCTAGATTTGCCTAGAAACCGACTGGGATTGGGATTGGGATTTCAGATCGCCTTGGCGGCCGAGATCGCTGGAGGCCGGAATATACACCACACACCAATGAGCATATTTATTGGCATTGGCATGCCATTTAAATGGCCGCGACAGTTGCGCATTGAACATTTGCCAAATGCTGGGGCGAAAGTCTACAGCAGCGGCCAGCATAATAGCGAGGTAATGCAATACATTCCATGATGTATTAATAAAAATGAGAAAAAAAATACCAAACTCTGTTCACATTTCTGCTGTATCAAGTAAATCAAGAAATCTCTTACCTAGTTTTAAGAAGTTTTAAAATACAAAATACAGCTTTATTTTGTAAATAGTAAATAAATGCATAAGGTTTGTATAACTTTAAAATTTTCATTTCTCGCAGTGTAAGCTGTGTGTGTTTGCCTTTGGTGGCAAAGTTTGCCAAGAGCCTTTTGGGTTGGTCAAAGTATTAGCAAAGTTATTTGCCCGCAACGGGCAAAGCGACCGCAACAGCAGCAGCGTCAGGCGGCAGAAGCAACTGCAGCAGATGCAGCAGCAGCAGCAGCAACAAAAGGCAACTGCAACACACACTGCAATTAACTTTGCGGTCAACAGCCACCCACCGGCCAACTGCCTTTGTGTGTGCGTGTGCACGTCGTCAGTGTGTTGGTGAGTGGAAAGAAGAAGCTGATGCTGCGGTTGCCGCTGATGTTGCTCGTGTTGCTGTTGCTGTTGTCGTTGCTGCCACTGCAGCTGATGTTGCTGCCGTCGTCTGTGATTAAAGGCCAAATGACAAGAGCAACAAGCGGCCAAAAACAAGCTGCAGCTGCAAGTTTCAAGGATAAGCGAATGGTATATGCTCTTGATGAAGGATTTTATTGTGATTTTTTGTGATTTCTGGTCAGATTGATATGTAATTAGGCTGGCATCACAAAAGCAGCTATACGAAACATCAGTAAATCTGCTCAGATCCAATGTTTAAGCAATTATGGGACATCAAGTTGGTGCATCACAATCAAAGTTGTCTGGCACCCTGTCCACATTCCTGGCCAACCAAAACAGCAGGGTATCAACTTTGTCAACTGCATTGCATTTCATTGCATTGAAATGGGTGTCACCCTGTAACTAGCACATTCGCGATAATGATAATGCATAATCATGCTGATGATGATGGCGATGGCGATGGTGAGGATGCGGATGGGGCTGATCATGGGGCTGATTACGATGATTATGATGATGGGGCAGGCGACTCCTTCAAAATGCGGCATTCTCTCGCTGGCGCATCACCAGCAGCAGCAGCAACAGCGGCAACAGCGGCAGCAACAGCGGCGTCATATTGAAACTGGAATTTGAATCCGGTTGTCGGCTGTTATGAAGCTCCCATTTTTTGCAGAGCCCCCCAGTTGCAACTCCCCCTCCCGGCTGCTGGCAAATGTTGTTTGTGCCATGTTTATTAAATGCCATTAAAGCCATTTCTTCAGCCTTTGGCTTTTGCTCTTTGAATGCAACTGCATGCGATTTTAAGGGAATCTCGGGGGACACGGAAGTGTGCGTCACTCTGTGGCAGAGTTGCATTGTCAGCAGCAAGCAGCCAGCAGAAAGCAGAAAGCAGCAGGGCTCAAATGTCAAAAGGTACATCAGCAACAAGAACGACGCGAGCAACAACATCAGCAGCAGCAACTGCAGCAACATCAAGCGCAATCAGCAAATTGCATTAAATGACTTCGTATTGCAATTGTTGGCCCTCCCAGTGATATATCTTTGATGTATACCATACATATATGTTTGGATACATAGCAACGAGCGAGGGAATCGCAGCTTTATCGCAGCAGAAGACACAAATTGAGAAAAGTGCAAGAAACGAGAACGGGCTCGTCATATCCGTCATATGAATTGAACTCGGACATCGAACCATTTAAATATTATTCAGAAAATATACAAATAAATATACATACAACAAGTTTGTAGAGATATCTCTAGATTTCATTGACTTATTAACACAGAATATCGACCATTTTTCGGAATCATTTAAAATGTTTTAAAGTTGACGCGGCGGTGGGCATGTAATATTAATAAATTAAAGCTTATGCCACCATAATCGATTTGGTTAGCAGCAAATCATAAAGCATAAAACTGACAACTGTCTGACAGGCGGCTGAAAGCGTTGAATAATGTTTTGTTTCTTTTAAACGGATTATCTTGTGAATTGTTTGACATTTGCCTAATTCGCGTGGGTTTATGCGTTTTCCACTCCAAAGTAACATCACAGTTAGGCTTAAAATAGCCGTTGCTTGGGCATTTATCAGGCGTTATCAACAATCCCCAAGTCCACCCCACCACCATCACTTTCACAACACATTTTCCAGCTCATTTTTCATTTGCTTTAATAAGCAATTTGATCGCTTGTCTTGACATTTACTGTTTACACATTTCTCTTCCTTCCCTTCTCGGCTCTTCTACACACAGTGAACACTCGTAGTAGTTTGCCCATGAAAGTCCATTCCCATTCACAATCCCACTCCAGAACAGCCTGCATCAAGGGCAGAAAATCTGAAAATCTGTGGCGCACATTAAAACGTTTCACTTAATTAAAATCAACGGCAACACAGGAAAAACAGCAACAAAAACGACTGCAAAATGACCGCCCCCATATATAAAGTATGGTATCCCTCCCTATATAAGTACATGTACATATATATAAACATGTCTATATATACATACATACACAGGCGCTAATAGTCCGATGTGAGTTCGTGTGCGAGAGCGTTGAAAAAACATGAAGACAAAAAAAAAAAAAAATTTAAGAATATAAGAATTCAGAGCAGTGGCAAAGACGTGGCTCGAGAGCTTCCAGCATTTTTTCCTACTTTGTGTGACTAACGACTTGAAATTGCGCTTATTAAGACTTCCTGATTCATAATTTCTGGCAGCACTAGCAATAACAACTATAGACAAGTGCTCACGCGCGTCGTAACGAATGGGGAGTACCCCGTACTTAAATATAGCAACGGCCAACAATTAATTGACAGTTATTAGGCATTTTATACGACTAACGATTTGACTTGACAAGGGGCTAATGCATTGTGATATTTACAGTGACAGCTGTGGTAACATTGTAAAACGGAATTATACGAATGTTAGTAGACAGAATCATTAAAATTGTTAATAAGTTATCTGAATGCTGTGACCTGTAACCAGTTTTGTGTAAATTATTCAAAATAATGCTTCTCTAGCTAAATCTATCCGCATGATTACCCATTTCAAAAAACGCGAAGTGTTTAGGCCTTGAGTGGCAATAGCATTCACGGAACTAAAATGAAGAAATTTCCCTATCCGATACCCTGTAGTTTAACCGCCAAAATCAGAAAGCAAAAGCCACCATCGCCTGGCCGCGAAGAATTCGCGGGGAATGTGGTGGCGAAATGCTTTTGATTTTGCTCCCACTCCCCCACTTGTTTTTTATATTTTTTTTCATATTTTTGTTATTGTGTGGCTTTTGTTTTCAGTGTGTAACGCTTGTTGTAATTTTCTTAATTTTTTTGTTTCGCACAGCCCACTGCGGGCTTTGCGGGCTGACTCTGATTTCTTTCGATTGTCTTCCTGGGGTTTTCCTTCCCGCCCGCCCTGTGGCATTCATCATGAAATGTTGGTCATGCTGCGGGCAAGATTTTCAAGTGACACGAGTAGTCACCGCCACACCCACACACACATACACTCGAGCACACACTAAGAGTACGCTTTGTGCATTAATTTGCTGGTGTGAAGTGCTAATCAATATATGAAGGCAGCAGCGCACATTAAGGAAACGCAATTTCCACAGGCAGTGGCGGTTGGGGGCGGAAAAAGTCACAAAGTTCCCCCTAATTTATAAGTCAAACATGTCGTGGAAATCCAGGAGGAGGAATGCAGTTCTGCAGTCAAAGCTTGGGGATCAGTGACACTTTAATGGGCTGCTTAAGGTTGGGATGGCCGAACGTTTGAAATTATATATTAAGGCCATGTGAGGAAACTGAGTTTATAAATTTGATTTAAATTTTTTTTAAGTTTATAAATAAGTAATAGCAAATGAGCTGCAATTGTAAATGTAAAGTCAATTCTTAGCTATTACACTCAAATGATTGCTCAAATATTTTGAAATAGATGTTCGATTTTACAGTCTAGTTTTATTTATAATAATATATAATATATATAAACAGCTAGACTCACCTGGAGATCCATGGCGGTTGCGCGGTCCTTCGGTGCGCACGGCGAGCAGGGTTTCCAGGTTGCTGATGGCCACAAGGGCCAGTAGCAGCAGCGCCAGGGTTGTGAACTGGCCGCGCTGGCGGTGGTGCTGTGGTTGGTGGTGCTGCTGCTGCAGCCTCCGATCGATGGCGCTGCTGTGGTGCTGTGGATGGCGGTCGCCGATGGGCGAGGTTGATGACGCAGTGACCTGCAGTGGATCGGCAGCCGTGTGGTTGTCGCCCTCGGCCAGCAGGGTTGTCGCAGGGGTCAGCAGGGCTGTCGCTGTTGGTGGTCGCCAGCGAGAACGCATTCTGGCCTTGCTGGGCGGCTTGCGACCAAATCCGAATCCAATGCCCACGGGCGTCGGATTCATTTTTGGTTGGTCGGGCGCTTCGCTTGCTACGCCGCTCCTTGCTCCTTTGCTCAGTTTGCTTTGTGTGGGAATCCTCGATTTGGATTTTGGGGTTTGTTCGTTTCGGTTTTGGTGACCCACTGGTGACCCACTCTTCTCTGTCCACCGCACTTTTGTCTTTTTAGGGTTGCCCGCTCCTCTGGCTTTGTTGCTTTTAACTTTTTTGGATATTTATTTTGGTTGGTGGGCTGCTTTAATGAAATAAGCGGAAAATTAACGCGTTTAATATTTCTAATTTATTATTAGGGAGGGGTGTGGGGCGGGGGCGTGTCCGGGGAGGGGGGCACTTGAGAGAGCAATTAATTACATTCAACTCCCCCCTTTTTTGCCCGCTCGTCTTATTCCGTTTGCTCTCTTGCCTGCTAAACTTTTTTGCTTATGAAAGATAATTGCTGGCTGTCTCGCTCGCACTCTAGCGAGCTCTCTCTCGCTCTATCTGTTTAACACTTTTTACAATAATTGAAAAACTTTTTTCGGCAGCTTTATGTGAACTTTTGCCTTCGGCGTCTTTAAACTTTTCTCCTTTTCCCCGCGATTTTCTTTTTCGTATTTATTTTTTACAATTTTTTTGCCTTTTTTTTATTTTTTTTGTTATTGTCGATTGCTGTACTTCAGACACTTGAAAAATAAAAATTAATATTGTGCGAGGAAGACGGAGATGGCATCTGGCCGCTTGTTGCTGCTGTTGTTGTTGACTCTTTCGGTTGATAGGGAAATTGCATATCCCTTGCAGTTTTTCACTGAGCTCTATTTTCTTTTTGCACTGCAATCCTGCAAGGAGAAAATTGTGGGAGAAAAGTTAGCAAAATGTTTATCCAGACTATTTTTCAATTATTTAGTGAAGTGCGATTAGTTTGTAAGAAAGTTCTTAATCAAGAATTTGCCATAGCAATATGCTTGTAAATTTCCTGAAAATCATTAAGAAATAGTTTTAGGGGAAGGCTGTAAAGAAAGAATTTTTGGAACATAATACACTCGTAAATATGTGAGAACTTTTTAGACACTTTCATCGTGATTATGCAAATCCTATTATAGTTTCAAAAAAATGATCTTTTTGTACGATTTTAAGACTCCGTTCTGGAATCAAGTGGCATTACCGCATCGAAAGCGAAAGAGAAAGAAAGCGGTGTGGAAACGAGGAAGAAAATAGAACATTGAGCAGATTACATTAAATTAAAGCACAAATGAATTGCTTGACGAGGCGAAAGCGAAGGAAAATATGATGCAGAGATACAGGGAGAAAAAAAGAAGTGAGCTGAAAAAGTGTATGCGAAATAAATAAAACGTCAAGCAACATATTATAGAAGAAAAAAAAAGTGAGCAACAATCAAACACAATAGCTGGCTGAGATCATAATATACGGGGGGTTTGGGTTCGGGTTCAGCTTAGTTTTGGTTTCGGGGAGTTGGGAGATCGGATGGAGATGGCGGCACATACCCGTACAAGTGGAAAATCATGCACATCGTCTCAGAAAACCGAAACCGAAACGGGGGCGGGTGATGGGTGGTGGGTGGTGGGTGGGACACAATAACAATAAGTGGGTGGTATCTGGTGGGTTGCTCATGCGGTTAGGTCAGAGCGAGGAGTAGGCCTACGACGACGATGCCAACGAGTCAACAAAAGAAATTGCTAATGTGAGCAAATAAAAATGGCACAAAAAAGTACACACGCACGCACACACACACCCACCCACACACACACACACACACACAGATTCCCTGGCAGTATTAGACAATTGAAATTGAAAATCAGTGAAACCTGTTTTCACACACAAAAGCTCACGCACGCCAAGCTTAGGCGCACAAAATTGCAAAAAAAAAAATAAAATAAAGAAGAAAGAAAAACCAAAAAAAAAAATTGTTGAAAAAAAGCGAAATGAGAAAATGGCACAGGGAAAATGGGGAAACAAAAGAGGAAAATCCAATGCAAAAACACAGCGCAAAACTTGGGGTCAAAGATGAAATGCACTCGAACAGCAGAAAAGAAAATAAAAGAAAGAAAAAGATTATATAAATTGTCAACAACTTCGGGGAATTTTAATAAAGCGGAAAATTGTATACACATACAAGTATTTTTAAATGAGGTATATTAGCTAAAATTATAGATACTTTTTTGTATTTTTTTACTGAAGTTCGCAAGACTTGATTTATAAATGAAAGCGAAAAAATGCAACTAAATATTTTGAAATAAATAAATACCGTATATAAATACCATATATGTATATAAATAACATTTAAATGATTTTTTGCATTGCAATGGAGACTTCCCATATCTAAACTATACTTGTATCTTTATTTTGATTGTGCAAATCTATAAAACCAAGAATTGAAGTATGAACATTTCTATTTCCCGTTTAACCCGAGGCTCAATTGAAAAATCACTTGCACAGCGCCTTCTGCTTTCTGCAAGTCAATGGAAAATGCACGGAAAATTTTTCAGAGAAAATCCAACATTGCCGATGGGCGGCGGGTGCTGGGTGGTGGTCGGTTTGTTGGGTATTTAGGTGCCTGGGTGGTTGGGTGGCTGGGTGGCTGGGTGGCTGGGTGGTTGCCTATCATCGACATCAGTATCAGTATTTAGCCCATGGGCCATCGTCATCTGCGACATTTCGCTGCGCAAATGAAAAGTTACGCGAATCAGCAGCAGTCGCAGCCGCAGGGAGCGTTGTGTGTTGATGGAAGGTGGGCCACGTTGATGGAGTACGGAGTGTGGCGGCGGAGAGGGAGGGGTGGAATTTTGGGTGCTTTTTTGGTTTTGTGGCATTTTTCTTTTTTTCTCTTTCTGGCCAGGCCGTGCACACCTGTCCGTTTTCATTACGCGGCGGCAGTCAAGAAATTGCCAAAGCTATTTTCGAAAATGGCCGCAGAAGCGAGGGACGTTGGAAAATGAGAAAATCTGGGTGCGGGGAGGGTAATGGGTACTACTAGGACACCGTTATAACTTGAAATTGAAAGGAGGCAGTTGGGCAGTGGGAGGGGCCAGTTGGCTGAGGGCCTGGGCCTAACGATCCAATCACGCGACCATCCCAAAGCCCAGTAACCCCCCAGAAAATCATTTCGGATCTGGATTTATTGCACTCTACCCTCCGCTCAGAAACCAGAATCCCGCTAATGTTCGCGCTGAAAAGCTCTCAGGAAAAATCAAAAAAAAAAAAGAAACAAGTAATGGAGGAAAAGCGAAGGGAAATGGAGAGGCAAAGGATGGGTGGCATAAGATATCCAAAGACGGCACCGCAAAATGTTTTGGGCCAATTGGCCACACGCGGTTTTGGGCATCAGGTGCGCATTATGTCAGGAATGTGAAATATGATAAGACCAGAAAAAAAAGATGAAAATGAAAACCCAATATAAATATAAATAAAAATTTACAACAATCGAAAAGGAGAGGCCTCGCAGACAAGCCAATAATAAATAAAAAATAATGCCATAAAATATACTCCTTCGTAGAGAAATGCTGCCAACAACAAGGGCATTCCAATGGAAATATTTAAATTTTGTTTTACATTAACGAAAAGTATTTATATTAGGGTTGGTGGCGGGCAAATAAATTGGAAAATAAATGACAAATTGAGGAAGAGTCTGGTGGAAAAAAGAAAAGCCTTTCCCAACGGGAATTGAACATAAATAGAATGTAAAATGAATAAATTCCTAGGGTTACTTAAGAAGTAATCAAGAATGTGAAATTGAAAATTGAAAAATACCTTGTTTAAAAAATATTAAGTTCTCTATTAATGTTTTAATTTCATCACTAATAAGAACAAATCAATTGGCATTGTGGAATTTAACATTTCGTTTTAAGGTACACATACGAAATATCGTCGATAATAAATATTTTCTCTTTGAATAACTTTTTACGCAAAAATATTTGTGCACTTGGCCAGATAAACAATTAAACTTAAACAAGTGCACATGAATAAAAACGTCCAACACTTCACACATTTTTTTTTATAAAGCGTTTGCTTTAATTTCCCAACGCTCAAATGCAAAACATTTTCCTTCTCTTTTGTATGCCGCACATAAATTGAAATACATATTCAATTGGAAAAAAAATCCGACCAATTTCCCATTCCCCAAATTTGTCGCTGGTTTTCCCCCCTTTTCTTTGACCTCCTGCCATTGTCAACTAAATGTTGATGGAGGTTGCTTCGTCACAGAACTGGGCTCCCGAAATCCCGATCCCGTCGAGCTTTTGAGTTTTTCTCCAGTTGGGCAGCAACTAGTCAGCAATTTTCCACCGCCCCATTTTTCCACCTTCTCTTTTTTTCTCACCTTGATTCATCATTGTTTCGTGTGTTCTGGCTTTGATATGCTTTCACTGCGAGATTTGCGATTTGCGTATTGCGAATGGTGGAAAAAACCAGGGGTCTCTGTATGAAAAGAGGGTTTTTCTTTTTTCTTTTCAGTTGCTTCTGCTTTTGACAAATCGGGGGTAAAAATTCAATGGGTATCCAACGTTTTTGCGTGCACCGATATGAGATAAAAAGGTGTCAGAGAATTTGTCGATAATTATAGAGAGCGGTATTAAAAGAAATACATGTCCTGAATCAATTCAAACTGGCATAAATAAATGGAGAAATAATTTAATATTGATGCAACAAAACAAAATACGACTTATGCAACTCGAAAATATAATTCAGCAATTTTTCCCAGTGTAAAAGAAACAGGTAAAGCGACTTTGCGGCGCCGCATTTTACTTGAATCAGCCCCCTTTTTCGCCCCCTTTGGGATCTTCTTTACCTGGTCTTCTTTTAAGTCCGATATTTTGTTTTGTTTTGTTTTCTTTTCTTTTTTTCGCAAGCTCCAAGAAGTTCTTCTTTCTTTCTTAACATTGTGACGACTTTTGCTATTTCATTCTTTGGCTTTTCCTCATTCTTATGCTTTCTGTCTCTCTGGGTTTCTAGTATTTGGGTTAAATATCCGAGTGAAAACTGTGTTAATGGGTGAAGTTTATATATATGTATATACATATCTGCATTTAGCCATTTGTATGTAATTGGCTAGCAATTTTTCTAGCTGCGTTTGCAGTTGGTCAAAAGTTTTTGGTCAACGCGGCAGAAAACAAGCGGAATTAAACAGAAAAAAAATACTAAGCTACAAATAGCTATGAATATACATTTTTTTAAACACATTGAGAACTTTTGTGGAATCGATAAGGCGAAGAAACTAATTTGATACAGAGAACAGGAAAACCT